GGCGATTTAAGAGTTTTCCTCCGAGCGCAGAACCGCGCTTCGGTTTACTTTGAAGAGATCACTTACATTTACGCAGAAATATAGGAATACCCCACGATTGCTTGTTCCTGCTAAGATTGACGTGCTCTGTACCTCCAGGTTTGCGCCACAGCACTGTTAGGTGGTCAGGCGATGTGACCAGTGGCCCTTCCGGGAAAGTACTCCACGATTCTTAGCATCTTACATTCTCTTGCATTTAGTCAATGCATATGTAGTTTCACCTGTCTTGTGCTAAAAAAATTAATTCAATTTACTTTTTTTTAATAATGGCAAATTTAATAAAGCTGCTTTACTGCAGGGTCGTCATGTTATGCATATGCGAATACCTTAAATTTACGCACAATCGATTTCAATAGCATAGTATTCGATTCCATCTTCTTTTCTAACACGGCCGCGTATACTACAATATTTCGTAATACAAAACGGTGCAGCCAATACTACCCATTTATCCAGCAGTCGAGTATGGCCGTTCCCGTGATGTCCGGCACTTTTGGAAGGTCTGCTGCCCTCCGTCGGAGTCTTGGTTCGAGGATTTTTTGTAGAAAACCCGAAGAAACAAAGTCCGGCATTAGGAAGAGGATTGAAGACGCTTCTTCGTATCAACTCAGAGCGCGAAAGATAAGATACAAGGGGCACAGAATAAATATTTCGGGAGATAAAATCTAGTTTACCTGAATGGAGCTAACGAAATCTATGCAAAGCGTAAGTCAGCCGGCTTTTTTTGCAGGGACTGTGGTGACGTCAGAATACCGAGCTCCGAGTGGATCTGATTGAAGGATAGCGGATAGACCTCAAAGCAAGCTGTCTTGACTACCCTCTATACTTCAGTCAGAGCCAATCAGAGCTCGGTATTCTGATGTCACCACAATCCCTGCAAAAGAAGGCAACGAACTTGCGCTTCGTATCGCTTTCTTGCTCGAAGGTATGTTCGCGCTCGTCCGTGCCATGCCTGTTCAACTCCATGCCGAGAGTTTCTGAAATCGAGAGTTCGGAATATTGGCAACGGGAAGCTGACGGGCAGAGAAGTGCGTGCCGCTTCTTCGGGATGGCGCCTGCCGATAGCCCCACTCATGCCATCTAGGCCAACTCATGTTTGCGAACAAACCGGAGCGCCTCTAGCAGACGCCACCGGCGCCGCGCATGCGCAATGGAGTGTGGGCAAGAAGATCGCCGTCGCCCATAAACCATTGGAATCTGATGTCAACGTCGGTGTGACACCCCGTGCTCTCTGCCGCGTTGGAAGTTTTGATTCTATGCCTTCCTGGTAGTGTCTGACTACTCTAGCGGCCTCAGCGAAATTAACGAGGCTCGTTACACCGCAACACTTTGCGTGAATAATGTGACATACGGCGATTCATTCCGCGTGAACGCCGCAGAATGGACGCTAAAGCCTGATTCGCATGATGAGATTCTGCTCTGTATTTTCAGTCATGACTTCGCTCGGGCTGCAAAAGCGTCAACTTGACATGGTCGACGTCGATACTGAAAATTGCAAGCAGAATCGGACCGAGTGATCCAGGCATAACAAGTCGGTGATGGCCACTGGTAACAATTATTAACTTCTCCTCGTATCTATTGTTTACACCGAGCCTGCTTACCCCAACCAACCCTCACATTTAAAAGTCTGTTGAGGCCTGCACCTACTTCTTATCGCGATTACCAGGTCAACGTTTGCTCTACGGGCCCCGTGTCGTATGAACTTTGAACGAACGTCAACACGCAGAAACGTTTGAAAGAGCAGACGACAGCTTAAACGATCAAGCGGCCGTTTAAACTCGAAGACGCACTGTGCGCAGTCTGCAGGTGGTGGCACAACTTGGCGGTTTTCCCGCGTTCATGCAGGAACAAAGCAAACACATCTGACGGCTTGAAGTATCCATGAATGTAACCGAAAGTGCTTCCCGCACAAGCAACCGTTGTCCGACGGCGTCTGGTTTCCCTTTTCACGGCCCCTATCTACGTTCTCGGACGAACCGAGCATCTAGAAAACACGTGAAAACGAACCTTCAAACGTTTCCCGACTCTTTTGGTACAGCTCCAGTCACGGCGTTTTGACGAGAAGGCAGGCTTCTGTCTGGTTTCGTCCAAAGCAACAGGAATGCACGTCCCGCATGGTGACTTCCGCCCAAAGCCCCAGACCGGAAGTACGCCCGACGTGTCATCACCGCGCCGTGACGTAACAGAGCTGAGCTCGTGAATGTAACAATGAACATCTTGCTGACATCTGAGCGCATGCACGGAGGTAATTGGAGCTTCAATTTTGTTCACAAGCTCTGCTGGAATTGTGTAATGCGATCTTCCATTCTATTTTTTTAGAGCGAAGCTGTTTATGGCTAGGTCCCCGTGGATTTTTCGTTTGCGGTAAGAGAAATGACGACATGGCTTCGTGACGTCACGACTTCGTGTCACGTGATGTCAATTTCCCCGCTAACTTTAGGAGGGAAATTTTTCCTCTAAATTTGGGGGCGAAATTTTCCCGGTAAACCTCGCGAGTCGCGGGGAAATTGACGTCACGGGACCTCAACACCAATTCAGTTCCCTCGCAAAATTTAGCAGAGAAAATGACGTCACGACTTCGTGTCACATCACCCATAAACAAATTAGCGGCAGGAGGAGAGGAGGAGGGAAGCGCACTGCCCTCTTTTTGTCGTCGTTTGAAGCGCTTGCGTGTCTATTTTCCTTTCCTTCCGCCGGGTGGCGGTCCCGTCTCTCGTGTCTAGTTTCCTCCGGCTCCTCGGGGCGGTATTAGTCCTAGACATGTGTGTGCGTACCATTCGTCACGGTGATCACCGATCAAGACAATAGAGAGTTTTAGTAGATCGTTCCCGTGACTCTGATAACGATACCCGATACTCCGCCACCGCCTCCCTTGCGCATGCATAGTATCGTTATCGGAGGTATCGGAACGATCTACTAAAACTCTCTATTAAATGTGTTCGCACCTTTGTTCAAAATTTTGTGTCGTGTGCTAAACAGCTTCGCTGGTCATCCACCTCCACAGAGTGGAATGGCTCATCATTTTTATACACTCAGTATTGTTCCCATGACACACATAGTCACCGTGCGGGACTCGTTCGACAAAAGCATATGAACATATAAGCTCCCGCTCGTTCTCAAGTCTTGCACGCCTGCCTTGCGTGGCCTAGTCAGTAGCCTCTCTGGCTCGCAGCCTCAAATTGTTAAAATTTTTCTTTAAGGCAAATTCATTACTTTATAAACTGAAATCATTCGAGACATGCAGCGATCTTTAACTCGCACTACATGCCATCTTCCTTAATCACTATGATTCCACGCGTGACGTCACGTTTTACGTAAGCGTTGTGGGTGTTAGAAATTCCTGCGCGAGGTCATGTGGCTTTGACGTCATGACCCTATCGACCAATCCTGGATTTTAGCACACGCCACCGACGCCGGCTTTTCTGCGACACGAGCTCCTTTGCACTATCCTGTTAAAACGGCGGAACAAACTTGGAGCCCAAGTCTTACTTCAAATATATGTAAGGTCGAGCTGCAGACGCTGCGAGTCTCGGACCTCAGTCCCAACGTTGTCTTTGATACTCACCACTATGCTTTTTTTTTTTTTGTGTGTTTCTTCCTATAGAATTTGAAGTTTGGAGACAGATGTACGTCACAATTTTATCTCAAACTTGACACCATGTCTGGACCAATATATCTTTGAGGTACTGATGCGTACGATCGTGAGCAAAAGTCTGAACAAGACGGGAGCGCCGATCGAATTGCATCGCCGCGCTCCCTAACGGCGCGGCGCCTGGCGCCGAGACCCGCGCAATGCGCGCGCGCGTCCTTTCTTATATGCTGGCCTATTCGTACGCTCGCTTCAACGCGATGCGCTCCTGAGCAAATAAATGGGCACTAGGTGCCGCCCCGGGAACAAAGATTCCCAGAGCCTCGCTCACCGCTCTGGACGAGCTCGCGTGCTCCGCGGCACGCGCCGTTCGCACGTATCTTTCCCGCGACTCGGCGACGCGTTAAAAACTGTCGCTTCCCTCCATTCGCTATTTTTAAGCTTCCCACCCCAAATTTGCCCCGGCTACAATGCAAACAGCTGCTGCTCAATTTATTATGCACGCGTTGTAAAGGGTCAAGAAGTCAATTGAGTCGGCTGCTGTCTGCTGCAGCTCGACAGAAGCCCAGTTCACACAGCGCGTTCTGTCAGCGCCCTACTGGAGGACCGTGCAGTCCGCACGCTGCAGTGGCCACCAGTCGGGCAGAACCCGAACCCCATCGAGAGCGTGTGGGGGTACATGAAAGGCCACCTTGCAGCACAAAGCCTTGGAAGCGCTTCGTGCACAGCCAGAGTTGGTGGCCTGACTTTATGATTTTATGCCACGCCGTGTGGCAGAAGTGATTCAGGCTAACGGAAACATGACAAAGTATTCGACACCCAAACTGAACCAGCGCCTCTTTTTCCTTCCGTTTTGTTTCTTGTTTTTTTTTCTTGGGAGGGGGGTTGAATAAATTTTTCTTTTTTATTTGACGTTTTATTGTTGCTCGTCATTCACCACTTTACCGCGCGTGCATGATCACTCGGAAGGAAGCTCAAGGTTGCCTCGAGTACGCGAATACAAGTTCTACAATTCATTGCGGCTGCATCAACATAAGCGACAGTTTTTAACGCGTCGCCGAGTCGCGGGAAAGATATGCGCGAACCGCGCGTGCCGCCGAGCACGCGAGCTCGTCCAGAGCGGTGAGCGAGGCTCTCGGAATCTTGGTTCCCGGGGCGGCACCTAGCGCCCATTTAATCGCTCAGGAGCGCATCGCGTTGAAGCGAGCGAACCAGTGGGCTAGCAGATAAGAAAGGACGCGCGTGCGCATTGCGCCGGTCTCGGCACCAGGCGCCGCGCCGTCAGGGAGCGCGGCGCTCCCGTGTTGTCCAGACTTTTGCTCACGACAGTACTTCCAGTTGAGTTATTTAAATGAATCAGACGAAGCGAGCAGCGCCAACGAGAACGCAACACTTTATTTCTGGCAAAAGGGCGTGTATCGTTATATGACGCAGTGTATGCCAATAAAAATAGCCATAAATTCATCACCTCAAGAGCCAAAATAGGTCTCAGACGCAACCATTTTCGACATGTTGCTTTTGCGATCAGTCGCTTTCTGTCCTACCGGCGCTCTGTTTCAGAGACTGGAGCTTCCACCTACAAAACGAACTCTGTACAAGAACTTGCATAAGCGATTCAAGAGATTTTGGGTAGAAGCAAAGCACCAGTCCCGTTGTATCCGGATGGCCTCATCGACGGTTACATAAGTTCGGCATGGCCCATACACCAAGAAACCAGGAAGACTGCAGCACTGAGGCTGCAGACGCTATTACGACCTCAACGAATCCGTGGACAACGAGTGGAGCCCTGAATGCATCTTCTAGCAGGGCCTCGTTGCAATTTGAATTTAAGAAAAAAATGAGGCAACTCTAAAAGAGACACTACGCAATGTCTGTGTCGAGCACCGAGACTCGAGAAGTGGCACTTGGCGTGGGCTTGAGTGCTTCTGCTGTTGATATCGCTGCTGCTGTTGCTGCTGCTTCTGCTGCTGGTGCTACTCTAGCTGCTCCGGTTGTTTTAGCTGGTTTTGGGAGTCTTTGTGGTGGAGAGATGTGACGGAGAGGCCTAGCGCTTTCCGGGTCCGTACGGGTCGTTGGCTAGCTTGAGTCCCAGGCGGGCCTTGGCGGCTTCGGCTCCGGATGCTCCGCGGGACAGGCCGAAGTCGAGCAGTCCACCGGCCCGTTTCTGCTGCTGCTCCAGCAGGGCCGGGCTCAGACCAGGGTGGCTGCGAGAGAGCGGTAGGGTTCACGCTGTGATTCTTCTCCAGTCGCCGTATAGACCATTCTAGTAATCAGTGGTTGTGGCACATGCTTCCCAGTGACTCGGTATTTTTTTTCGCCGGAGTGGTAACCGTTTCAGAGGTGTTTAAAAAAGACTGAGATTTCGAGTCATGGAAGAAATTAACGATTCTGTGTCTGGAAGCGTTTCTAATGTTACAAGGAACAAGACTCTGGTCGCGCGCCGTACTTTTGAAGAGGATGCGCAAAGCTCGGCGACAGACAAGGCAGAAAGTACGTTTTGACTAAAGAAAGCAAGGTATTAGCTTTCATGCATTGACATATGGTATTGTCCGACTACGCTGCAGGAGCTGTGTGAGTGCCACGGGGCCTTGAGCAGCGACGCGCTGGGCGCAATGTCACGTAATACGCTCACAGCATTCGGTTGCCTGAGATGGCTTGTTGCGTGCACGGTGGCTCATGAACGGAGTATAGCACTGCAGCCCCATTTCATTCAGAAAAGGCACTACACTCGTTTTCACCTCAAGAAAAACGAAAGTTTTGCGCATTGTTCATACGCCGCACGAAGTAGTTCTACTAAACTTGGTTGTCGGAGGAAGAAACGATGCTTTTTGCGTTTGAAACGTGCACGTGTTGATAAGATAAGATATATCTGCTAATCTAAAAGGCACCTACACATATCTGAATTATTTGCATACAAAGCCAATTTTTTTAGCAGTTCTCCGTAAAAAATCGGCCATTTTTTTTACTAAGGTCCTAGAGGTAAAAGCAAGTGGAAAGTGGATCTTGCATTCCTATGATTCAGGAGCTATGAGACGAGGAAATTTCGAAGGAGAGACACTGATCTATGATACCTAGGTTTCACAGTCAATAACGTGTCCCAGCGCCCCCCCCCCCCCCCCCCAAATATAAAACAAACAAAACAACAAACAAACAGGCCTTTGCATTTACAATTTCACAAAGGCCTCGGTGGTCCAATCACCACAATCTATGGGTCGTATCCAGCGACTCACGAGCCACAATGACGGCACGACTCAAAAAATGCATTTTGCGCGAGGATAACTTAAGCGAAGCGTTATTCCCTTTGTGCGTACTCAGATTCCGTTTTCGATCGTAAGCCATTTTTCCGCGCCTTGTCATGGGCTGACAGGCTCTGTAGACTACCGTGATTGACGAACCCTTACAAGATAAGAAGGCCCTATAGTACTAGATTATCTACGTTACCCTCCGAAGGCAAGTGCGGGGCAGTGATTGAACACGAGTGCTGCGGCAGCGTTCGGCTGGGACTCGTGTCTAATCTGTGCCTCGTGGTGGCCTCTTTTACTGACGTAGACAAATATAGTACTAAGGCTTTCTTATCTGGCAGTTGTTTAATCGGCTCATCACACGCTGGGTGGGAAAGCAGACGAACAGGTTTTTTTAACGTGAGACGTTCTTTATCTAGGCGCTTAGCCTTTCGTGAAACCTGATATGCGTGGCCGCAAAGCTTGATACTGATTGGTTAACGGGGGAGGTCACGTGACCAGAGGGGTAGGCGAGGAGGAACTCGACCATCTATGCGCACGGAGTGAGAGCATCTCGAGAGTATAAAAGGCTCTGGAAGATCGACCACCTATGCGCACGGAGTGAGAGCATCTCGAGAGTATAAAAGGCTCTGGAAGATCGACCACCTATGCGCACGGAGTGAGAGCATCTCGAGAGTATAAAAGGCTCTGGAAGATCGACCACCTATGCGCACGGAGTGAGAGCATCTCGAGAGTATAAAAGGCTCTGGAAGATCGACCACCTATGCGCACGGAGTGAGAGCATCTCGAGAGTATAAAAGGCTCTGGAAGATCGACCACCTATGCGCACGGAGTGAGAGCATCTCGAGAGTATAAAAGGCTCTGGAAGATCGACCACCTATGCGCACGGAGTGAGAGCATCTCGAGAGTATAAAAGGCTCTGGAAGATCGACCACCTATGCGCACGGAGTGAGAGCATCTCGAGAGTATAAAAGGCTCTGGAAGATCGACCACCTATGCGCACGGAGTGAGAGCATCTCGAGAGTATAAAAGGCTCTGGAAGATCGACCACCTATGCGCACGGAGTGAGAGCATCTCGAGAGTATAAAAGGCTCTGGAAGATCGACCACCTATGCGCACGGAGTGAGAGCATCTCGAGAGTATAAAAGGCTCTGGAAGATCGACCACCTATGCGCACGGAGTGAGAGCATCTCGAGAGTATAAAAGGCTCTGGAAGATCGACCACCTATGCGCACGGAGTGAGAGCATCTCGAGAGTATAAAAGGCTCTGGAAGATCGACCACCTATGCGCACGGAGTGAGAGCATCTCGAGAGTATAAAAGGCTCTGGAAGATCGACCACCTATGCGCACGGAGTGAGAGCATCTCGAGAGTATAAAAGGCTCTGGAAGATCGACCACCTATGCGCACGGAGTGAGAGCATCTCGAGAGTATAAAAGGCTCTGGAAGATCGACCACCTATGCGCACGGAGTGAGAGCATCTCGAGAGTATAAAAGGCTCTGGAAGATCGACCACCTATGCGCACGGAGTGAGAGCATCTCGAGAGTATAAAAGGCTCTGGAAGATCGACCACCTATGCGCACGGAGTGAGAGCATCTCGAGAGTATAAAAGGCTCTGGAAGATCGACCACCTATGCGCACGGAGTGAGAGCATCTCGAGAGTATAAAAGGCTCTGGAAGATCGACCACCTATGCGCACGGAGTGAGAGCATCTCGAGAGTATAAAAGGCTCTGGAAGATCGACCACCTATGCGCACGGAGTGAGAGCATCTCGAGAGTATAAAAGGCTCTGGAAGATCGACCACCTATGCGCACGGAGTGAGAGCATCTCGAGAGTATAAAAGGCTCTGGAAGATCGCGAGGCTTCTCGGGCTAGGCTAACCTAGGTGACGTAAAACCTAAACGGCGCACCACCACTACCGCCAGGCTTTTCAGCTCCACATACGTGAAACGATCTGGATGAGCATCGTACCGGCGCGCGGTCGTGTATCCCAGACCCCAAGCTAGCGATTCTACTGAACTGGGTAAATTTCTCATTTACAGCTGGGAGACTCGTCGCCCGTTAAGGCAGACTAAGTTCTTCGCTGTATAAACATACACATAGCCTTTTTTTTACATACGTGTAACAGCGTAAACGTTCATGATACTAGAATGTTTCACGTACCCATCACAACTGCCCGGCAATTAGCCATAACTTCTTTTTGTTTTTATGGGCACCGATTGTGAATTAGCGTGGATAAGCAACACTCACTTGACTCGATTCCGGAGGAGGTTAAGAAGGTAGTCTTCGCCGGCATCCAGGGAGGAGTCGTAGTACACGTCCCGCTTTGGCCTGCGCGCGATCCGAAGGACGAGTGGCAATGAGCCAAACAGGCAAAAAGACCACTGCTGCAGCTTTCAACAGAGATTCAAGACGTTATGTCTTGCACGCTATATTGAGGAATTTTCGCAGCATCTCAGCCTCGCTGTCTGACCCCCCCCCCCCCCCCCCCCCCCCCAGCGTTTTATATCCTCTCCGCTTTTTACCTTGTCCCAACTTGGCTTTTTCCCAGCTTAGGAGAGTTACAAAATGATTATTTCCCTGCAGAAACCAAACTTGTACGCCAACCTTGGAAAAAAAAACAAAAAAAACAAACAGGGCGTGGCGAGTTCCGATTATCTTATTGTCTTACGACAGCCAAGAAGACTGGTGGAATTTGCCGATAAAAATACAGAAGAACGAAGCGAAAAGCCTGAGCATGATAAGCCACACCTTGTGTCTCTTAAGCTCTCACTTCAAGTAGGACCAACTTCTGGCTGTCTCGATTAACATTCCCATACGATGCCTGGAACGGTTAGCCGGGTCCAAAAAAAAAAAAAAAAAAAAACAGGTCCCTCAATTTTCACTTGATGACGCCATAGAAGTGTCACGCTGTCGCCTGCCGCGATCCTGGAGGCGTCACAGAAGCGGTGGCGTACGCGACAGACGCCTGTTCTGCTACGGGTCGCTCTCCAGCAATGCGCAGAGAATTTCATCTGCTCTTTGCGCAGGAGTTGCGGTGACGTAAGAACGACGCCGAACTCTGATTGGCTGATTGAAAAAAACAAAAATAGTGGATAGACCCCAAAGCATCTAGCATTGAGATCTGCCCTATATCTTTCCAATCAGCCAATCAGAGCTCGGCGTCGTTCTTACGTCACCGCAACTCCTGCCCAAGAAGCAGACGACTTGCTCTCCGCATTGGCATTTCACGGAAGCTTCAGCAGCCAGGAGTTGGGACGCCACGACGACAGTGCCACTCACGTTCCCTCGTGCTTTTTGAAGGAACTTGTGCTACCAACCGCCAGGATCGCGATATCCGACAGCATGACACTCCGGCTTTTGCGTCGTCCTTTGTTGCCACTTGGGGACAGCTTTCGACGCGCGGACAAAATAGGACGCTAAACAGACCAGTCAGACACCACGCGTTCCAGGCGACGTAGCTTCGCACGAAGGGTTTGATTAGTATTATAAGGTTTGATCTCGTTATCCTAATAAAGTTACATCATATAGAACTTTGAACAATCCGTCTGTCTCTACAGATATGAGAATCTCAGTCAACGTAAACCCGTTTTTCTCGATGCAGTATTCGTACCTGAGGTGTCCTTGAGAGGAAGCTGACGTCACGGCCATGGCGAGGAGAAGAGTTGTGGCGAATCCGACCAAAAGCGACTGCATTCTGTGAAAAAAAAAAAAGTATGTACATATGTTTGTATTTCCTTGACAGTGAATGATCATGTACTTCAAAATAATCAGCATTGTTTGGGTTGCAAGACGATCTGTTATAGAATAGAATGGAGTTTCTTCACGGAAAACAGTAGATGAAAGTTGTACTGGCCTACGAAAGCAAAGCCGGCTTGTGTTTCAAAACAGATAACCACCAGCTGTCCATACACATAATGAAAGATAAACATTCTGCGTTTTGAGGGTAACAAGTGCTAAAAAAACAATGGACAGGTAAAAGAGACCAACACTACACAGCGCTTGCTGTCCGTTGTTTTTTTTTTAGCGCTTTTACCCTCTAAACTATGAATCAACAACTAGCCCAAACGCAAACCCTTCTAAGCATTCATCGTTGTCCGCAAAGCATCGGTGAAGAACTAACAAACTAGGCTACAATAAAAGAAATCAAACGTTTTCGGGTAAATATATAGCCACCAAAACGTTCCAGAAAGTAACGATCAGTCCGAAAAAAATAATAACGCACACTCTGCAGTGCAAGAACAGAAGTCAACAATTGCTGATATTATAATTCAAACAAGTGTCACACCCAACGAGCAGGCCATTGAAAACGTAAACGCTCATTCGTTATCCTCCAAATTCTTTGGCGAAAATTGTTATTTGGAGGCTTTATACTTTTATTCCCGAGGATTATTACCACGTCTCGGAAAAGCCCAAGTAGGTTTGAGGCCAATGCGGTAGAAGTAGTGAGGCTCACGAAACACAGTTTTATTCAAAGCTTTCTGATTGACCGTCATTTATTTTTTGGCATGGAAGTGGACAACTAATGATTATTCATCGTGCCAGCAACTTTTCTCGCTTCGAATCGCGATTGGCGTTCTCGTTGTCCTCTGCTGTCACGTGACAGTACAAGATTAAGACTTTCTGCTCATCATAACAAAAATATGTGAATTCCGAGCGAAAAACGGACCATATAAAAGACATTTCCATCCCCCTACGGCGTGGATCCAAATATTTGTCTAAGAAACTGGGAGGACACCCTGGCACATTTTCATGCATGTTATAAAACGAGAGAAAAGCTGTGGCTACTTTCTTGACGCACTTCAGGCATTATTATTAGCTTGAGTATTTAAAATTCTAATTGGCTTTTTTTTTTTTTTCAGGAACGTGAATTGGTTATAGCGTTTCTTTTTCAGGAACGTGAATTGGGTATAGCGTTTCTTGTAATCTCATCAGTAATTACGCCCGGCAAGAAGTATCGTTTTAATGCTGCTTTCCAAAAATCCAATTAAAACGACCAAATGAGCTTACTTACGGTATCTCGTAATTGGATTCTCCGTGTAGGCCTGAGAAGAACCGCGCAATGCCTGATTGGTGTATGCGCTTAATCTCTTGGAGTCACGGCTTTTGCTAATCCGTGCCCTCAGCCACTTTTCTAGCAAACCAATTCAAAGTAAGCCACGTAAGACTTCCGGGGAATAATCGACATAGACCTAACGAACCTTTATTAAAACAGCGACACAACGAGACTTCCAATTTGACGTTGCGTAGCCTTATTTCTAATTTAAATTAAAAAAATGTCCCATTGTTTCTTTCAAACTTTATCCTGAAGTGAGCCGAGATTTTTAGATTTAGTCCAGAACTTGTGCCCGATCTATTAGTTCTAAAAAGTTCCGGCAGTCCCCGCTTGATTATTTTCGTACTTCAGGGCGTCAGAGAATTAATGGTATGTACCAAACGCGGTCTTTGTCCATGTATAGTGAAGTATGCTACCGTTTAGCTTTGAACCAATTGACTTTTTCTTTTTTTTAAGCTTCTGCGCGTGCGTGAATTCTCTCCTCTGGCTCTGCTTTCCGCTCTCCACAATTTTCGGGGGGCAAAGTCTCGCACGATTGTGATATTCAGCGCCCATCCTTGCGCCTATCTCGTATTTTCCGTCGATTCTTTTCCGAGTATCGGTATATAGTATGGGGCATAAAACATCCCCAACTTTCTTGGACATCAAAGCCTCGGCGCGTGCACTAGAATGAGAATTGCAATTGAACAACAACAAACAGCGCAATGTTCCCTGGGAATATCTTAGATGATGGTCATAAGATATCAATAAGCAGAAATTAACTTTTCGACACCTATAGTTTCTATTCCACGGCACTACAAAGTGTTTTGCATCGAATCCTTTGGGCCGCACGAACGAACTTAGCGAGTTCTGCTTTTTCTTGACAAAAGATTGTAATCTTCCCGAGTAGTGTAATTGCCGGGGTACATCATAAAACGCAAATCAATTCTAATTTTGTTACTTCCTTAAAAATTCTTATTCCACGGAATATCCCAGAGAGTTGGCCATGAGCAAGAAAGACCCATACAACGGCACGATGCCAATGTATTTTCCCGTCGGTCTTCAGTTTGTGGACAACTCCCCAGACGGCGCTCGTTACTAGAAAAAAGTCCAATGCTTCACTCGATTTAAAGGAAACAGCCTCAAATCATCATCGTCATCATCATCATTAAAGGAAACAGACTAGTCTTCACCATTATAGCCAGCCGACAACAGCCAGGCGGCGCCAGCAGAGAAAGAGCCCACGTTATACCCTGTCTAGTTGTAACTTGGCAAAGGGTGAACGCCAGGCCACATTGCATGCCGACGGCTTCGATATGCGCTGGGTATACGAGCGCAACGCACATATATTGGAGCATGACGCAGCGAAAAGCCTAATGCTTCATCTCAGTAAAAGCGCACTCAGGTGATTTGTAGTCACTTTCCGATTGGCTCGCTAGGGCCGTGGCTTCCGCCATACTGGAATAAAATAACACTTTGGTTGAAACTAGGTGGTTTACATCGATTAAAAGGTTGAAAGGCGCGAACAAAACAGAACGAAAAAAGACACTTACTACACAGACAGGCGCCGACTTCCACATCCTAGACTACCCAGTAGTTCTTGTTTCGGACACTACGCTAACCTGCGCCATCAGAGTAATGGCTCACGTTTGAACAATGCAGCCGCCACTCCCAGGCATACCCAATGTTTCTTGCTTCAGTCGCTAGATAGTGAAAAACCAAACAGCATTGCAGGTTGCCTATGAAGTCTAGGCTACCTTTTTGAGGGGACGCATTTAAGGGGGAGGGCATATGGATGACCCGGGGGGGGGGGGGGGGGGGGCGCTCCACCGAAAAGCGACTTTTTCATGAAAAAAAAAAAAAAAGAAACGACACACACAAGTTTTTTTAGCGAACGAATTTGTAGTATTTTGGTGATATTGGAATTATTAAAAAATATATTTGGGTAATGCTTCCGCCGTGACATCACGTACGTTCGTGAAGTCAAATAATCTTAGAACATCAAATCCGCCCCAGCCTTGCGCGCCGTTCAACGGCTCTACAAGTGTTGATGAATGCACGTACACGAAATTGCATTGGTGTCAATGAATAAGCCTGTGTTGGCCTCGTAGGTTCCTTTAAGCAAAATAAAATGCAGCTTCTCAATATTTTGTAGTCATTGTATTTGGGCGACATAACTAAATTCCTAAAAAAAGTATTCATTTCTATTACCAAGTACAGCTGCCTCAATACAAACATACCCTAAGAAACATCGGTTACGAAGACAGCAAATCACGGCGAAAAAAAATTATCCCTGCAAATGACAAATCTGAACTTTCGATGGCATTTAAAAAATTCGATGTGCGCAGACGCACTGAGCAAGTGAAACGTCATGCGCACTGTCCCCGCGCCGATCGAATTTTTCGCTTTAATCGTATTAATGACTTTGACATTAGCAAAAATCCTTTGTTTTTTTTTGTTAAATATTTTGCCGTGAGTGTTGGTTTTTGTGTCCCACAGGAAAGTGAGCGCACAGACGTTTATTGGGTGCATTATAGTTTAATTGATGTGATTCTCAGCTAGGTGGCCTCATCTACATGACATGCGTATTATTTTGGTTCTGCCAGAAGAGGAAAATGCAGCAAAAAATTTATTTGACAGGCTTTCGTCCTTTCTTTGGTAGGGACGCCAGTTTTAGGTTGGTTAGACGCAAGTGGTTTTTCCCAGAAATGATTCCCTACGCGAATTGTTTTTTTTTTGCTGCGGGAATCCTTCACGACTCTGAAAAGAAAGAGTTTTAGTGAGTCGTTTTAATGCGAACCGTTCGATCTACGGCACTTGAACTGACCTGAACGTGGGTGATTCAAAGTGCTTTAAAGAGACACTGACAGGGTCTTTATGCTCGCCAAGATTTTTATTTGTACATAACACATTAGAGCCCAACTACCCTGAACACAATTTTCGGCTCGAAATTCGTTTTCTTTCCGCCCGAAAACCGCCGATTGAGAACCGGGGGGTTTGAGTCGCGCTCAAACTTTTCTCCGTGATCACGTGCCGTTTCCATGGTTTAGAAACAACCACCAAGGATAATCGTTGTGAGTCATCGAAGGCACACAGCCAATATTAAAAACAAATAGAAAACATGATACCCATTTTTTGCGGCTTCTAAAAAGGTGCAAATACGTTGATTGAAAAGAAAAAACACAGTCACGTGACTTCCGCCAACGCTCTGCTCCTCTGTATTTCTTCTTCCACCCCAGTTCATTTTCGGTTTCGAGCAGTTACTTTTTTGTCTTTATTAAAATATACGTGACGCTGTCGCAAAATATTAGTTGGGTAATTTTCTGACAGAGTGTTAAATTGTCAGCCAAAAAAAAACAAAAAAAACATTGGGGGTGTTAGTGTTCTTATAACACGGCGGATGGGGCCGGACAAGTGATTGGATTCTTTTGTGGACTGCAGCAGGCCCGCATAAAATCTCGATAAAGAAAAAAAAAACAAAAAACAGGTAAACATATTCAGGCTGCCAAGAGAGGCCTTTGCTTCGGATCCAAGCGAAAAATTTGTCTCCGAACGGTTCACGGAAGCCACCGCGTGTGCCATAAAGTTCATATAAGAAGAGAAAAAGAAAAAGATCACGCCCGCCATTTTTTTTTATGAATATAATGCATTAGGACACCTCG